CTGACCTACAGAACCTCACTGACCTACAGAACCTCCCTGACCTACAGAACCTCCCTGACCTACAGAACCTCACTGACCTACACAAGGCGAGGTCAGTGAATAAGGCCAGGCAGATTCTGGCAGATCCTGATCACCACTCCACGGTGAGTTCAGGTGTCTTCCATCTGGACGCAGGTATCTGCTTCCCAGATGTGGAACAAACAGACTGAAGCACTCCTTCATCTCTGTAGCGATCAGGCTTCTCAATGAACAAAGTTGACTTCTGTATAGTTATTTTAATGTCGCCATGCCTTGTGTAGTCTGGATGTTTTATATCTCTACTCACTGTGAAACTAATTGCCCCTCGGGATAATAAAGATACTTGAACCTGAAATGATCCCAATCTTAACAAACATGGGGCAGAAAGTCTCGGTACTGAGGTGTTCCTAAGAATTAAGAGTTTTCTCTTTTTCACACCGATTTAAAAATACACAACTCTGTTACTGTAACTACAGATTCTTGTGCTTTATAGTCAGCATGTGGTGTAATGGAAGTTGTTCCTCCTCGTTTCCAACTGTTGTCAGTGCTGTAATGGTGCAACTTCAGTTACACTGGCGGTTCTTTGTGGTTCTTTACATGCTCTTCAAAGTTTACAATACAAATATTCTGTATGGCAACAGTCTGCATGGCTTGCTTGTGGAATGGAGCGTCTCTGGTGGCTGCGTGGAGACAAATCACAAGCCAAAAACTTCAAGAGGAATCTGTGTAGCTCTTGAGCTCTGTGCTAACACACTTCATCCAGGCAGCAAACTTTTCTCTGTGATGAGTGGAAAATAGGGGCTCCAAGTATTTTGAGCGAAAGCCATCTCTGTACGGTTTTTAAGACTGCTGCCTCTCTCTGGGTTCAGCCTTTGAAATGCAGTTACGACTTTTGATGGGGGTTCGCTGCCAGTCTCATGGAAAGAGAGGAAAGATGTTAAAAAAGAAATAAAGAAAAAGATAGAGACAGAGAGGAGGGGGATGAAGGCAGATAGATGCAAATAGAATTCTAGGGTGAGGAAAAAACAGAATATAAAACTTTGAACGCAGGCTGGATTTAGATGTTAACGCCTTGTGGGTTTCTCTGCTCCACCTCCCCCAACAGCAACTCTATGCCGCTCAGCTTGCCAGCATGCAGGTGTCTCCGGGAGCCAAGATGCCTCCACTACCCCAGCCCCTCAATGCAAGTGGACCCATTTCTCCCTCTTCTCTGAAGAATGACAAGATTTCCTCGAGCCCCATCACCCAAGTCAAGGTACAACCATCAGTTTCTTCACCCAGTCCAAAGCTGGAGTGGTACTTGACCTAGCTTAGCCTAGATGGTGACGTCTGATTAAACTGGAACTACAACAGTCACTGCGTCAGTGTAACGGGCAGCCGGTTGTGAGCACAGCTTCTAACAGCTTTAACAAAGCTCCACTCTCCAAACCAGAACTCTGTGGACACGCTGGTTATATCTTTGGCACACTATATATTTTTTATGTAACTAAAATGAAGTTAACCCATTACAACAGTAACGTACAGCTGTTAACAAAAGTGACACATAAACCAGTCTCTCTCTTTTTTTGCTGTGCAAACATCAAATGCAGGAAGTGTTTTCTGCTGCTGTACGGCACGACTCCACCGAGGCTCCACGCAAAGAAAAGGACACATTCATCATTCGGGCTCACTTTGACCCAAATCAGAAACATGTGTCCATTTGAAGTATTTTAGTTTAATAATATCACAATGGAGAAGCACCATAAATCATGGTGGGAAACCGCTCAAGCTTTTCTTCACTTGTTTGCTCACACACACGCGCACGCACACACACGAGCACTTCCTCGTCACACTCATTCAATTTCATCACGAGTACAGTTCTCTCTTTCTTTGAGTGGATTACTGTTAATTTGATCAGTTTTAACAGCTTCAGTCCATCTGACACTATTAACACATCAAAATACACTACAATTAAAAATTGTTGTAAATAAATTAATTATACATTATTAACTAGTTGGCCAACGGACACTGGCAGCTTCCTATTTCTGTCCCCTCTCCAAGGGGTTCAGATTGCCTTTAGTTTAGTCTGTTTTCAGCTTCGCGGCGTAACAAAGTGTTGTTGGCACAGAGAGAACGAGACCTCGAGGCTCTCTGCGCTTGAGCCACATGTTTGGACAAGAAGACACTTTTAACAAATGTCAGTGTGGGCTTTAATCCGATTCTGTACGCTGTTTACACAGGGAGATGTATTCACTGCGAAGTGTCATAAATCACGTTATATTCTGGGATAAAAATATTTAAACTGTCTGATTAAAATGTATTCTACAGTCAGTGCATTTCATTATGTTGATAAATGTAACTTGATCAATCAGCTTACCTTGGACTAATGATATTTTATTTTTATGACAGAGAATTTGGATTTTTGAATTATTGTAAATAATAATGTTGGAACAAAACATAAAAAGTCTACATCACTGGCTCACCTTGGTAAAATTAATTTGGTGTAAGTGGATAAAAGGTTAAAAATTACTAAATGATGATTAAAATACATGTTAAACAAAGTGCAAAACATATTTATCCTGCTTTAACCTTCGCTAAAGCCCTGACTGCACTTTGCATTTTTATTTAGAAAAAGGAACATCTAAAGTGTGGCATGAGGTGCAGTGGTTACAGATGTTGTCTCACAGCAAGAAGGTTGCAGGTTCACCTTATATGTGGAGTTTGAATATTCTTTGTTCACAATCTTTTCTGGGTACTTTGGTTTCCTCCTACAAACCAACAACATACAGTTTAGGTTAATTGGTAACTCTAAATTGTCCCCAGGTGTGACTGAGAGGTTGAATCTGTCTCTATGTGACCCTGGGATGGATGGATGCATGGATGGATGGATGGATGGATGGATGGATGGATGGATGGATGCATGGATGGATGCATGGATGGATGGATGGATGGATGGATGGAAGGATGGATGGATGGATGGATGGATGGATGGATGGATGGATGGATGGATGGATGGA